CTAGCACATTAAGACTAGTGTCATGTTATTTTCAGTAGGAAAATTATATTTAAGGATAATTAAATGTAAGTAGATAGAGAGTGAAATGCAAGGGAGGAATTGTGAACTGAAATGTTAGTACTAAACTATGTCTCAGACCTCAATTTGTCTAGAGGTCCAGTATAAGTTTTCTAATAAAATTGTCAATCGCCACTCTGTTGTTCAGGGATTCTGATATTGACACTCCCCACCTTTATTTTCCAAACAGTAACTGTGAAAATCAGATGAGATTTTTTTAAAGAAATGAACTTGCCTGCCCATGACAGCATGTGCTCTAGTTAATCTGTAGCAATGCTACAATTATACTGGACACATAGATTTGTCACTGGGCTTGTCATCAGGATCTAGATGAAGTGCTACATTTGTTGCTTTAGTATCACAAATGTTCTGCACTTCTTGGAATTTCCAGGCCTAGACATGATATTGGAATTTAATGAGGTTCCAGTCCCATGCATCTCATTGGGATGTGTTAGGGTAAATGCAAGTCCATCCTCTTTCATTCATTGGTTTAGAAAAACAAAACAAAACATATGAGTATGGAATGTCCTATAAGGAATCATGTTTCAGCTGACTATTTCCTACAAAATCTCTCCTACTGGCCTTGGAACCTTAGCTTAGTTAATTAGTGTGTAGTCAAAGAGGCTAAAAACATTGGTTCAGTGTAGAGCATTTTTACCAGTCTCCTGCCTCCAACTTATATCTTTCTACCTATCCATTCTGCTAATGTGGGCTTTTGGTCACAGGAGCATCCAAATGAGCTGGTGTAAACTTCATTTAACTTCATCTTTAAACTGGCCATAATTATAACTATCTTTCTTATTTCTCAAGGTCATTGTGTAGATTCCTTGAGCTAATGTATATGAAAATAGTCTGAAAATTATAATCCACCTACAAATGTAAGGCAGTTAAAATTATCATTAATATTAAAATTGTCACTTCAGTAAGTGGCATTTAACAATAATAAAATCAGGGTAAATATAGCCATAGTCCACGGCAGGAGGAAAGCTGATTGGAGACAACAATGACTCCAAATTCATATCCTGATTAAAGTAGAACAAAACATTTATCTTTGAGTATGAAATATATTATTTACAATTGCTTCCTACCAATCACATTTTTGCATTCATCTTCAGACATTATTGTTATTCATTCAGAGGCAAGGCACATTTGAAAATAAGATTAAGAACAGTTTTTGTCAAGCTAAGTGTCTATAATCTGAATGTGTAAAGCAAATTGACAATAATTCTACAAAGAAACCAAAATGATTTTTATAAATAAAATGTAGGTGGCTGGATTTAATTTAATTTAAATATTACTTTTAGTAAATTTTCCAAATATAATAAAGTTATATAGTGTAAATTAAATGTTACTCTGACTGACCATACTGCCCTTATCTTGCCACTCACCATTTCTCAGCCACCCAGTTTCTCTCAGAGAAAATACAAGTTTTACATGTATACCTTTAGAAATATTCATACTTGCACACATAACTTTATATATACATATATATCATATATATATATTTATGTGTTCATGTATTTTATTCAAAGGATTGTATAATGTGCACACTGTTTAGAAACTTGCTTTTTTATTGAACAGTTTACTTGAAGATATTTTTATAATACGTACATAGATATAGCTAATTATTTCAAATACATGCATAACAATATATCATTATATAAATGTACCATAACATTATTTAACCAGTCTCCTTCTGATGGATATCTTGGTTGTTTTCAATATTTTGCTATTATAACCTGGAAAGTATTATCCTAAGTGAAAGAAGCCAAGCAGAAAAAGACAAATACCACATGATCTCACTTATATATGGAATATAACGAACATAACAGTCTGAGGAATACAGTAGACCCAGACACATGGAAGTAGGGCACAGACTGACATCCCTCAGAAGAGGGGATGGGGGGTGGGGGGTGGGAAGAGATAAACCACAGAACTTATATGCATGCATGCATGACCAATGGACATGGACAACTAAGCCGGGGACGGGGCGGAGGGGGGGTGGGGTGGGGGGTGCCAATGGGGTAAAAAGGTAAAATATCTGTAACAAAAAAATAAATAAAAATTCATAAAAAAAAACAAACAAGCAACAATAAAATTGAACATTTGTTATTGGATTTTAAATTCAAATATTTAAATTTTGTTTAAAGTATATTACGTATGTTTCAAATAATATTTAAATATCAGATTATTAAAAGTAATTCAGCCTTGTACGGTTTGGCTCAGGATTTAGAGCATTGTCCCATGGACTGTAAGGTTGCAGGTTTGATTCCTGGTCAAGGTTCCGCAACTAGTTTGCAGGTCCAATCCCTAGCCCGGGTAAGAGTTGTGCGGGAGGCAACCAATCAATGTGTCTCTCTCACACTTACCCCCCCCCACCTCCTTCCTTTCCACTTTCTCTAAAAATCAATGAAAAATATCCTCAGCTGAGGATTAAAAGCAACACAAAAGACTAACTCAAATACTTAGAAAATGAAGACTATAGATATTATTTTACTATTCATCTATATTATGTCAAAATAAGCTTAATTATAAAAATATATTCTTTGATTTCATAAAGGCAATGTATTGTAGACCATCAATAAAAATTTCTTGAAAAAATGAGAGTAATTCACTCTCAGTAATTCACTAAAATTTTTCCATTCAAGCAATTTAAATATCAAGAAGATGAAGCTAATGTTATGTAAAGCTCTTTCCTAAGTAAATATCTGGTGTATCTGTTTTTTATTAGCAACTATTTGGGGAATCTCATCCTATTTGCATATTTTCCTAACCGTACCTGTCATGTGACCAATGTTTCTTTCTCTTCTAAACTCCCTTGAAAATATGAGATGAACTTCTCTGATGTCAACAGGGAATTCTTAAGCCAGTCCATTAATGAAAGTTTAATGATTCTCTTATATGCCCAGCTCCATTCTGTCTCCTGTGAATTTCAAAAATATAAAACATTTCACTTTAATAAGTAGAACAATAAGTTGGATAGTTGAAGCATGATATAAATTTGGGAACAGTTAAAAATAAATCAGGATATAAATAATAAAACATTTTGTATCTGTGTGCCAAGTCCTCTCATTTCTTTCTTCCAGGTGTCTCTCTAAATTGCCTCTTTTTTCCCCCTTATTCCACCACTCCGACTCCTCATCCCCACACTGCAGCATTGTTACTGCATCTTCTTAGCTGTTTTTTCCTTCTCAAGTCCATTCTGTAATCAAGTTAATCATCTTTATATAGCACTTATCTTGAGTTTTTTGTTGTTTTTGTTCCAAGAATGTACAATGGCCTTCTAGTTTACTACATTATGTCCAAATTCCCCTGCATATTTCTTGATCCTCCAGAATTGAGCTTCATTTTATCTATCTAGTTTCTGTTCCAGTCACTCTACATTATGAGCAACTTTCTCTTTACCCCACTGCACTCAAATCTTTTTTTTTTTTTTTTTTTTTTATCCTCACCCAAGGATATTTTTCCATTTTTTGTTCAGACAGTGTGGGAAGGAGAGAGATTCCCCCTGCCCCTTCCCCAGATTGTTGAACATGTCCACTGTTCATGCATACATGCGTATAAGTTCTGTGGTTCATCCCTCCCCCACCTCCCCACTCCTTAGGGGATTGTCAGTCTGTACCCCGCTTCTGCATCTCTGGGGCTACCCCATTCCTCAAACTGTTATGTTCATTATATTCCACAAATAAGTGAGATCATATGAAATTTGTCTTTCTCTGTTTGGCTTGTTTCACTTAGGATGATACTTTCCAGGTCCCTCCATGTAGTCTCAAAGGATAAGAGATCTTTCTTTCTTACCGCTGTGTAGTACTCCATTGTGTATATGTACCTCAGCTTTCTGATCCATTCGTCTACTGATGGGCCCTTGGGCTGTTTCCAGATCTTAGCGATTGTAAATAGTGCTGCTACAAAGATGGGGGTACATATATTCTTTCTGATTGGTGTTTCAGGCTTCGTAGGGTATATTCCTAGGAGACCATTTTCTTCATAATAGTTTTCCCATTATTGACCTCTCTTTTCTCTGTTCCTTTACCACATATAGCCTTATAGTTCAAATGCTATAATTTTATTAGATTTTATTATTTTTCTATTATCTCTTTATTTTAATGTTCTAATTCTGAGTTCATAGTCCTAGACTGCCTATATACTGCCTTCTCCCTTAGCACTTAGCCCAGGATTTGGTAGACAAATATGTCCAATCAGTGTTTTGATCAATTATTCTAATGAAGTTGCTAATGTTTTTTTATATTGCTTTTGGAGGTTGGGGTGGGGAGTCAGAAATAATTCAGAGGCATAGAAGTTTCCATCCACCAGGAATGACCATTAGGGTGATAGTTCATTAAGATTAGCCCTGGCTGGTTTTGCTCAGTGGTTAGAGTGTCAGCCTGCGGTCCAGAGAGACCTGGGTATGGTTCCCGCTAAGGGCATGTACTTGGGTTGCAATTTGTCCCCGGTTCTGGTTGGGTCGTGCGGGTGGCAGCCACTTGATGTGTCCCTTTTGCATTGATGTTTCTCTCTCTTCCTCTCTCTCCCTTCCACTCTATCTGAATAAAAAATGGAAAAAATGTCCTCGGGTGAGGATAAAAAAAAGAATGTGTAGTACCACAAAGTAGGTATGGAGATTCAATGTTTATCTGATTATTCTTTTAAAATCTATATTTCTTTACATTCACAAGCTTATAAAAGCACTCAAAATAGTCTCTTTGGTTGATCTTATTGGAAAGTGTAGCTGTTGAAATGGCCTATTTATAGTGATCAATGGTGCTCTAAATATGCTGGGAAATGGATATTGTATGGATAGAGTAACAACTCAAGTAGGAATACTGTCTAATAAATGTTTACACACCATCAAGTCTACAAACATTAAATATACACGATAGAATATTTTCTATCCTGTAATTTATCTCCATTTTTCTTTTACCTTCTTTGACTTTCTCTTCTAGCTTTACTCACAGACAAGCCTCCCAAGCCATTATTCCCCATGGAGAATCAGCCAAGTGTTATAGATGTCCAGCTGGGTAAGTCCCCTTCTGGGAATAATAGATCTTAAACTTGCTCTCTGTTAACAGATTGAGAAAATTGCATGAACTAAGACAGGTTTATTGTCACCGTTATTACACACAAATCAATTTATGTCTACTCATTTATAACCCTAAAGTTCAGTGCAATAGCGGCTTAAGGAAATGAGTTTGTATTGCATCAAGGAACGGTAATACTAATTGGTTACACTTGGTATTAAGTGTGCTGTAGAACATATATATATTTTTTTCTCTGTGATTGATAGATTTATGGGTGTCTTACACTAGTGATTGGTACAGAAAATTTTTCATGATTATCAACTAAGTATTTTTTTTTCAAATTAAAAAAGCATTAACTCTTGGAGGATAATCACTTTTTGAAAAATAAAAGAGCCTCTAGAATAAGCCTTTAAAATGTTTTAATAATATTGTCATCAATGAAAGAATCTATGGCTATTTAAAACTTGTTTTAGGGTGAGATCCTGAATATTTATGCATAATATGGTATTGGGAACAGTAAAAAGTTGATTTGTGGGTGCTGCTGTCTTTTTACAGTCTCAAATAAGGAGACAACGTGTTGGCTCCTTCACTGTGTGTCTCCTACCACTACCCCTTGTATTTAAAGAACTATATAAACTTAAAACTCATAGGCCAATATATTTTTCAAACCATGGCTTTTATTCTAAACCATGTACTTTAACATCTATAAGCATTCATCAACCAAGTTTCATTCTGTTCTTCAATTCTAAGAATGTCTTCCATTCTGAGCAAGAGAACTGAGTAAATGTACTGGAAATATATTAGACTTACTTTGGACATATAATTTATTAAAATATATGACTACAGTGGTATCGACCAATTATATAGCCAGGGACAATTAATAGGCTTCAATATTTAACTCATTTTGGAAGTTTTTTATTCAACTTTTCAAAAAAAAATCTTATTGAATTTATTTGGATGACATTGGTTAATAAAATTATATCAATTTCAGTGCATAATTGATTCTATAATATATCATCTGTATATTTCATTGTCTCTTCACCATCCCAAGTCAAGTTTTCTTCCATCACATGTATTCTCCCTTTACTCTCTTCTCCCTCCCCCAAAACCCTTTTCCCTCTGGTAATCACTATACTGTTGTCTGTGTCTATGATTTCATTTTTTTCTTTTGCTTAATGCCTTAACCTTTTTCACCCAGCCCTTCAAACGCCTTTCCTTCTGACAACTGTCAGTCTATTTTCTGTATCTATAAGTCTGTTTCCATTTGGGTTGTTAGTTTATTTTGTTCATTAGATTCTACATATAAGTGAAATCATTTTTATTTGTCTATTTCTGACTGGCTTATTTCACTTAGCATAATACTCTCCAGGTATACCCATGCTATCGAAAAAGGTAAATTTCCTTCTTTTTCACAGCTGAGTAGTGGTCCATTGCATAAATATACTGCAGGGTTTTTTTTTGTTTGTTTGTTTGTTTTTTATCAACTCACCTATAGATGGGCACTTGGGCTGCTTCCAAATCTTGGCTATTGTAAATAACGCTGCACTGAACATTGGGGTGCATATATTCTTTTGAATTTGTGTTTTTGGTTTCTTCAGATATATTTCCAAGACTGGACTCTCTGGGTCATAATGAAGTTCCATTTCTAATTTTTTTTAATTAATTTATTTTTGTTACAGATGTTTATCTTTTTCTCCCCCACTGAATTCCCCCTTCCCCACCCTCCCCGCCCCAGCCCCAGCCCCATTGTCCATATCCATTGTTCATGCATATATGCACATAAGTTCTGTGCTTTATCCCTCCCCTACCTTCCCCCCTTCTGGGGATTGTCAGGCTGCACCCCACTTCCGTGTCTCTGGGACTACCCCATTCCTCAGACTGTTATGTTCATTATATTCCACAAATAAGTGAGATCATATGATACTTGTCTTTATCTATTTGGCTTATTTTGCTTAAGATAATACTTTCCAGGTCCCTCCATGTCGTCTCAAAGGATAAGAGATCTTTCTTTCTTACAGCTGCATAGTACTCCATTGTGTATATGTACCACAGCTTTTTTCTCCATTCATCTACTGATGGACATTTGGGCTGTTTCCAGATCTTAGCTATTGTAAATAGTGTTGCTACAGACTTGGGGGTACATGTATTATTTCTGATTGGTGTTTCAATTTGAGGAAACTGCATATTGTTTTTCACAGCGACTGCACCAATTTGCATTCCCACCAACAGCACATGAGGGTTCTCTATTCTCTAATTCCTCACCAGCACTTGTTTGATTTATTAATGGTAGCCATTCTGACAGATGTGAGGAGATACCTCATTGTAGTTTTATTTGGCATCTCTCTAGTGATTAGTAATGTTGAACATATTTTCATGTTTAATGGGTCTTCTGGAGAAGTGTTTATTTAGTTCCTTTGCCCATCTTTAATTGGATTACATGTCTTCCTGGTGTTGAGTTGTATGCATTCTTTATAAATTTTGGATATTAACTTCTTATCAGATGTATCATTGGTGAATGTTCTCCTACTCAGTGGGTTGTATTTTCATTTTATTGATGGTTTTCATTGCTATACAAAAACTTGAGTTTGATGTAGTCCCATTTGTTTATTTTTTCCTTTGGATTCCCTTACCCAGGGATATATATCAGAAGAAATATTGCTATGAGAAATGTCCAAGATTTTATTGCCTATGTTTTTTTAGGATGTTTATGGTTTTGACTCTAACATTTAAGTTTTTCATTCATTTTGAATGTATTCTTGTGCATGGTGTAAGAATGTTGTCTGGTTTCATTTTTTGGTGCATATCTGTGCAATTTTCCTTCACCATTTATTGAATAGATTATCTTTATCCCAATGCATGTTTTTACCTCCTTTGTCAAATTTTAATTTACCATAAAGGCAAGGGTTTATTTTAGGACTCTCTATTCTGTTCCATTGGTCTATATGTCTGTGTGTTTTTGTTTTTTGTTTTTGTTTTTTAAATATATTTTTATTGATTTTTAAGAGAGAGAGGAAGGGCAAGAAAGAGAATCATTAATGTAAGAGAGAAACATCTATCAGCTGCCTCCTGCACACCCCCTACTGGGGATCAACCCCACAACCTGGGCATTTGCCCTGATCTGGAATCTAAATGGCATTTCTCAGTCCACGAGCCACAACAGTCGGGTGATCTATATGTTTGTTTTTATGCCAGTGCCATACTGTTTTTATTACTATGGACTTGTAACATAGTTTGATATCAGGTAGCATGATTCCTCCAAATTTGTTCTTCTTTCTCAAGATTGCTATGACCATTCAAAGTCTCTTTTCATTCCATATAAATTTTGGGGTTACTTCTTATTCAGTGAAATATGTCATTGGTATTTTGATAGGAATTGCATTGAGTCTATAGGTTGCTTTGAGTAGCATAAACATTTTAATTATATCAATTCTTCCAATCCATGAACATGGTATATGCTTCCATTTATTTGCATTGTCTTCAGTTTCTTTCTTCTCTGACTCAAATTTTGATCTTTCCAATTCAACTTGGATTGTTAGAGGCTTATTGCTACATTGAAGATACTTGAGATAAATTACATTCCTAAGAGCTTGCTTATTCTTCTAAAATGAAACATAGCACATTGCAGTTAATACAGCCTTAAAGTATAAGTATCAAAGTTAAGTGTTTTAAAACAAAAAGAAAAGAAAAGAATAAGCATGTTATCAAGAGTGAACTGTGGGAATTATGAGTATTGTGTAGATAATGTTGAAGTATTAGACTATGGCTCTCCCCCTACCACTTGTATTATTTTGTACTCATTACATTTTGTTAAATCCAAATCTAGATGGGCTGACACACACCCCTAATTAATTTTTACTTACTTCTTTCCATCAATTCTGGGACAAAAATACTTCAAGAGCAATCTGTGGTTTTCCAGGAGTTACATAAAGCCTTAAATGATCTTGTACCATTAGCTTTCATGGACATTCAAATGCCTAATTGATTTTATATGAAATATTATATATTAAGCAGTACAAAACAAAATTCATACAACTACTTCAAATAAAACATGAGTATGTTTGTTTTTGTGGAACTGAGTGAGTACTTCTTTCTTCTCTACAGTTATGCAGACTTCAACCGAAAGGTCTGAGTAGTATTTCTCTAAAGCAAGGAGAGAGATCCTTGTAGGGAGTAAATTTTATTCAGATGCACTAGCTACAAGACTTATATAGGTACTATTCAGGACATCTCCAAGATATATATTTTATGTAAATATGTATTTCAACCTAGGTATATATGCCAATAAAATTCACTACCAACACCACCCTGTAAAATTACTAAAGTATTTTTTTCCAATTTACATTGGATGCAAGGCTAAAATTTCATATTTCAGTTTGTAACACAATTTGGAAAGAATTTTTTTTTAACAGAAAGGTGGAGACATGCCCATTTTTTAATTCCAGAATGTCTGTTTCTCTGAAATGCTAAAATAATCATGTAATTTGGACAAAGAAAAACAAAATCAGTTAAGCCAGTTCTTTGGTACTTTAAGGAGTATATTAATGGTTAATTTTAAGTGACTTTTCCACAGATTTATTTAGCAGCATTTATATACAACTGGAAATGATTTTGTAACTTATTGTTATCCCTCAATAGTAAGGTGATGTTAGGAGCATGGTAATTGACAGATTGCCCCTCAGTTTTGCAGTCAGAGTGATCAGTATTTAGAAATCCAATAGGTAAAATAAAGAAAGAAAAAGATAAGTGGGGCAATTGGACAACCCTATCAAAATGTAGAAAGTTTTCAGAGTTCAGTAAGATTATGAAAAGTTCTGGTATGTTTTTCCTTTATTTTTTAAAGTTTTTAAAGCACATTCAGCTTTAGACATTATTAAACTAGAACTACCAAAAATGATAACAATCCAATCCAAATGTCTAAGCACATTACAAAGGTAGGTTGAAAGTTGCCCTACCTATATATATTTGCTACTCTTATCTTTAAAACATAGTTTCTCATTCCC